AATTAGAGCCTTATCTGGGCAAGTACTAAACATATGCAGTTCTTCAGTACTCCCTGGAGTTGCAGGTGCTCAGCACCTCTCAAAATCAGACTTTGGAGTGCAGCCTTGCTGTAGTTGAACCCGGAGCACATCTAGTCAGTGCAACAGAGTCTGCTGTCTTTTCTTCTCTGTTTTCTGGGGTAGGAGAGAGAGACTGCAATTGGATGGTCCATTTCTAGCTCATCGAAGGGCCATTTTTTCTGAAGGTTTCAGAAATCCTTCACTAGTTTCAAATAAATGCCTATACTTACAGATTTGTGTCTGCATTACTGAACGTAATTGATTATGGGTGCCATATTGTGGATATAAATGACAGAATTTAGGCATCCAACTAAATGATTTGCAGAGATAAATTAGATAGTTAAACAATGGATTTTCCAAAGGTTTCGGGCCTGATCCAAAAGACTCCCATTAATTTCAATGGGCTTTGGATCTTTCCCTATGCACACAAACAATGTATACTGTACAACTTGAAACATATGCTTTTTTAGAAGTTAAATTGGGTTTTTCTTTCAACTGTTTTAATTTTAATTTAGGTATATGTGCTGACAATATAATTAGAGGGATGCCATATTAATTAATGCTGGGCTGGCAAATTGGGATAGCAAAGTCACCCAACCTTCTAAAGAGTACTTTGCAGACAAAGCATATGTCCCTCCCTGCCTGCCCCACCCGTTAGATCCCATTTCTAGGTAGAGAAACCTACTATTAAAGAGAGAGAGAGAAAGAGAACGCCAGTGGTTGACTAAAAATCAAACCATTTAGAAGCACTAGCAAAATTCAGAATTGTAAAATGTTGCCTTCAAATTAAGTCTGATGTTTTTGCAGAAAATGTTAACCGTGTTTCACTGGAACCTACGTACAGTGAAGATTTTTGAAATGAAATTTAAACAGAACTTCACTATGGGCTAAAGTCTGTTCTTGATGCATGTTAGCATGAAGCTGATAGAAGCTGCGTGTACACACCCATGAGCAGAATTTGGCCTTCTCATTGGAGGTTCACTGTAAGCAGAATTGAAATTTGCACATTACAATACATTGAAAAAATTTGGAATTTTCTATTTCAAGATAAGATTTTTGCTATATCTGATTTCACTGTATTCTGCTGTATGAAGTTTGTTACCATACTTGTCATTTAGGACCTGTCTAGACTAGAGTTTTTGATTGTATTGTATCAAGAGTTAATTGATTCCCAATGATGTGTTAAGTAGAAATTGCCAGTTAACTTATGTTTACATTAGCATTTATAATCAATACAATAGTGTGGTCTAGACAACGCCTTAGTTTTTTAAAGGAGCTCTTGTGTAAATGGCCTTATCCACATTCTGCATCCTGAAGGTGTCTGTAGGAACTTTTTTAAAATGTTTAAAATGTACCTAGAAGGGGAGATGGGTAGGGAATGCATGCAGATAACCTCCTAAAACCCTTCACAAGGGTTTGCTGTGAGTTGTGCGTGTATATGTGTATGTCATTTTCCTCATCAGTATTTTTTTAAATGACGGTGTTCAGTCTTTGGGCTGCATGAATCCACTCCCTTTTCTTGGGCTAAGTCTTCATGGTCTCACACTGGCATTTATTCTGCATTCTCTTTGCAGAGGAGTGAGTGCCGGTACAAGGCAATGGAGAAGCACACTCCTGTCTCAGCCCCAAAACAGATGTCAGCCAGGGAAAGACTATTGTATATTTTTGGGCTGTAGCTGCTTTAAAACTCTTCCCTAGCTGGTTGACATTCAGCTGGTGAAAAACTCTGCTCTTCAGTTTTGAATGTCGTGAGCTTTACTGCCCAATATTTAGGACTAGATGAGTCTGGGAAGGGAGCAATCCTGAGTGACAGTGCAATGCCTGCATGAGGGTCTAGTGGTTGTGAGCATCAGGGAAATACCCTGTCAGAAAAAGATACCATAGCCATGGTGTTGATTCTCAGAAGATTTTAACGTTTCTGCATGTGAACCTTCAAAGTTCAGTAGTTGTGGAGGCAATTCTAGGCTGTATGCAAGTCTTTAAAAAATCCTTTGAATCAGGACTGAAATTATGATTAGGACAAATATAGAGTTGCCTTTGAATTGGTAAAAATATTGTAATTAGATGTCTATTTGGTTCCAGGAGAACTGAATTGTTTCTGATTGTTTTGTAAAGTTGAAAGTGCATCTCACTTGCCTGTGTTCAGAACTTCCTCTACAAATTATAGTCAAACACAATCAATCAAAATGTAGTTTGGTAACTCTTGTAAACTCTGGCAAAATCCAGCTTTTTTGCTGCTTTTGCACTGCAAAAGCTTACTTCTAATCAATCCAATTAATGAGTAGGTGCATAACACATCTTAATTCATGTATTTATTTTGATTTAAATATTTTTTAAAAAAACTACTCAGAATTATAGATGCTTGTGATATTTTTAAGAAGGGATGTAAAATAAAAAAATAACCACCCAGCAATATATTTAAACCGACATACAACAAAAATCAGGAAAACATATTTCCCACCTTCTCCAGAATCCATCCCTCACAAAACAAAACAAAACAAATTATCCTTCCACAAATGCCTGAGCAAATAGATGGGCTTTGAATTTAACTAACACAGCAAACCCTGAAGGCCAGCAAACTCAGGCCATTTGGTGTCAAGGTAGGGAAATAATTCCAAAGTCAAGAAGTCCACTTTTGCTTCTCCCTGAGGATTCTTTTCTGATCTCAGCTATGGATATGTGTCATAGGTAGAGAAGGAGACTTTCGAGCAGCCTAGCCCCAAACCACCTATGGCTTAATAGGTCGAAACAGCCAGTGTAGCTCATGGAGCATCAGTATCATGTGCTCACAGTGGCTGATGTCCCATAGTACACTGCAATATACATATTATTTTGTGCAATTTTTTATGAAGGCTGCTGAGATATAGTGTAATAAGAATGCCTAAAGCAAAGATCTTGGACAAGGCCCATAAATAAGACATTGAATAGTCAGATCAACAAGTTTTATATATTCACTGCTAGAAAGGGATCAGGTTACTAACTTCTAAACCACCAGTAGAGGAGTGACAGAAATGATCTATAAGAGCACCCCAACTACATTCCCCTCACAGTTTTGAGTGATACATGCCCCACCACTTTACACTGGCCCCTAGAGTGGAATCCTTACACAAAGGTCCTGAGTTTGCTCCCATAGAAGTCCAGAGGACTTTTGCCATTGACTTCAATGAGAACAGATCAGGCCACAAGAATATGAACAAAGCAACTGGTCTGGACTTTCTCAGACCCTATGCAATGGAAGATGGCATTTTCACACTATAGTTCAGAAACATGCACTCTTCTGCTTTCTGCCAGAGCCTTAACATCAGGGAATAGCATTCAACAGCTAGCTACATGAGCAATTTGGCAGCAAAACCAACTTGCATCAGTTGACCATGGGAACACAGCTTCTAAATTAGATGGCACAGTCCCAAAGTGTCAATGTCTTAGAGGACCAAATGGGTGCAGCTCAGCAGAATCCTTCTTGGATAAACATTACTGTGAAAGAAGCTTGAACATCTTACAGTACTTCTGTCATCTATGATTAGGGAGAGCAAAGCTCTAATCTGTTAAAAGTCTTGAATACTAGGTTTGTAGATACAATATTTGCCTTCTTGGCCTGCCAGCTCAAAAAGTGGGCTGGGCCACTGCTTCCCGCAGCTCCCATTGGCCGGGAAAGGCGAACCGCGGCCACTGGGAGTTGCAAGTGGCTGTACCTGCGGACACTCAGGTACACAAAGCGTCTCATGGCCCGCCAGGGGCTTACCCTGAACAAGCCGCGAACCAAGTTTGGGAACCCCTCATATAGATTTAAAAGTTGACATCATTCACTATATAGTAAAGGTCTATACATTCACCTGGTACAATAGACATCTACAGTTCTAGGATATTAAGTTTTTGGCCTTTTTGTTAGAGAAATAGACTTCACCCTGTAATTGTTAGCTTGACTCAAAAATTTGATTCATGTTTATTAACTTTTGCAATGAACATCCTGTGTAACTAGAAGAGGTGTTTCACTTAGGTTTTTAAATGAATGAAACCAACAAACTTTAAGTGGCATCAATTATTTTAAGTTTGACAGTAATTCTTTGGAGGGGGGGTGTTTTTGTCTCCCCTTCTATTTTCTGCCAGTATCTCTGCTTTCCTTCCCCCACACAGCCTTTTTCAAATTTAACTAGAAAGCTTCCCAAATATACTTGACTAAACAACCAAATGTGTGGGTTTTTTTTAAAGAAATAAAACCCAAACAAGCCATAGAACTGATTAAACCACTTTCCTCAAAGACATTACTTTTTGGAAATATCTTTTGCCATCGGGTACTGTGTGGTTTATTAATATGTAGATAGTATGGACTAGCTCATACATTTGTGTATTGCCCAGCAGGAATGGGATCTGTGTATGGTGAACTATGCATATAGTGGGTCCAATATGTATAGGTGTGAAATACTCAGTGTGGATTTGTAATGCTGTAGGTCTGAGTGTCTTGGGCTCTGTGTATAGGTGTCTAGCTCTGTGTGGTTTTCTATTTCAAGTGTCTTTCATAGATGGGTTTGGAAATTTCGATGAACTTTTTTTGCTTTTCGTTCTCTTTCTGTTCTGGCTGGCCAAGCTTGAGTGGAGCAGCCAAAACTTTTGAAAATTTTAAATACTGACAGAAAGTGTTCATAGCAAGCCAGCCCCCCCCAGTGGAGCCTTCCCGGCTTGGGGTGGGGCTGCTGTGGATCTACAGGGCTGGGTTGCTCTGTGTGTCCCTGTAGGGCTGGGGCTGTAGCTCTCTCTGTGGGTCCTTCTGCCTCAGGCTGGTGGCAGGATTGTGGGACACGGCGGGTCTGTCTCTGTCTGTCTGTCAGGCTGTGGGTGGGGCGCTCCCTCCTCCCCCTCCCGGCGGCGGAGCGCGGAGCGCGTCGAGCGGATCCATTCGCTCGGCGCTCGGCTCGGCAGCCCCAGCAGCCCCAGCCCCGTCCCCCGCCATTTCAGCCCGGCGCGGAGAGGCAGAGGGACGCGAGCGGCCGCCGCGGGGACGAGCAGCCGCCCCGCAGCCCGGACAGCGCCAGGCAAGTGTGGGGACCCGGGGGGAGCGGCCGGGCAGAGGCCGTGTGGAGCCGGGACCCCGGATCCTCCAGCGGGACCCGGGGCGGAGAGACCCGCCAGCGCCGCCGCCCTGCCCGGCCAGCGCCCCCGCCGCCTGGGGGGAAGCGGGGCACCCAGACCCGAGGAGCCCGGCCGGAGCCTCCGCCCGTAGCGAGACGCCGCAGCCGCCTGCCCCCCCCCCCGAGCCCTGCTTACTTGTGCCCCCGATAGCCCCGTCCCCCGTCTGCCCCCTGTATCCCCACCTGTCCCCAGCGCCCTGCTTACCTATGCCCCCGACAGCCCCTGTTCTCCCGTCTGCCCCCTGTATCCTCACCTGCCCCCAGCGCCCTGCTTACCTGTGCCCCCGACAGCCCTGTCTGCCCCCTGTATCCCCACCTGCTCCCAGCGCCCTGCTTACCTGTGCCCCCGACAGCCCCGTCCCCCCGTGTGCCCCCTGTATCCCCACCTGCCCCCCATGTCCCCAGCGCCCTGCTTACCTGTGTCCCCAACAGCCCCGTCCCCCCATCTGCCCCCTGTATCCCCACCTGTCCCTGTGTGTCACCAGCTTACCTGTGCCCCCGACAGCCCCTGTCCTCCCATCTGCCCCCTGTATCCCCACCTGCCCCTGTGTGCCTCTAGCGCCCTGCTTACCTGTGCCCCCAACAGCCCCGTGAGCCCCCTGCCCATCTGTATTCCCCCCCCATGTGTCCCATGCCCCCTCTGTGCTGCCAGCTTACCGGTGCCCCCAACTGCCCCTCCCCACCTGTATCCCCACTTGCCCTCTGTGTGCCACCAGGTTACCTGTGCTCCTGACAGCCCCTCCCCACCTGTATTACCACCTGCCCCCCCATGTGCCACCAGCTTACCTGTGCCCCTGGCAGACCCAGTCCCCCTATTTGTTCCCTGTCCGCCTGTATCCCCACCTACCCCCAGCGCCCTGCATACCTGTGCCCCCACAGGCTCTGCCCCCTGTGTGCTCCCTGCCCACTTGTATCCCCTGCTGCCCCCGTGTGTCCTCTGCCCACCTGTATCTGCACCAACCTCTCGTGTGCCCTAATGCCCTGCTTACCTGTGCCCCTGACAGTCCCCTGCCCACCTGTATCCCCACCTGCCCCCCGTGTTGCCCCTGCCCATCTGTATCCCCACCTTCTCCCAGTGGCCTGCTTACCTGTGCCCATGACAGGCCCCGCCCCTCCCGTGTGCTCCCTGCCCACTTGTATCCCCTGCTGCCCCTGTGTGTCCCCTGCCCACCTGCCTCCTGTGTGCCCCTAATGCCCTGCATACCTGTGCCCCTGACAGCCCCTGCCCACCTGCCCCCCCTTGTGTGCCCTCTGCTCTCCGTATGCCCCTAGCGCCGGCTTACCTGCCCCCCCATGTATTCCCTGCCCACCGTGTGCCTCCTGTGCCCTGACAGCTCCTGCCCGTATGTACTCACTGCCCACCCTTGTGCCCCCAACACCCTGCTTACCTATGCCAATGACAGTCCCTGCCCCCTGTATCCCCTTCCCCCTCATGTGCTGCCAGCTTACCTGTGCCCCTGACATCCCCCCATGAGCTCCCTGCACACTTGTACCTTCTGCCCCCTGTGAATCCCCAACAGCTCCTGCCCCTGTGTACCACCAGCCCCCTGCCCACCTGTACCCCCCTGTGCTTCCTGCCCGCAGGTTGCCCCTAGCTGCCTGCATACCTGTGCCCCTGTCAGCCCCTACCCCGTGTATCTCCAGCCCTCATGCACACCTGTGCCCCCCATATACCCACAGCACACCTATACCCCCAATAGCTTCCATGTGCCCGACAGCTTGTGCCCCCAGCCCACCTATATTCCCTACAACTAGGGTTGCCAAGCCTCCAGTATTGTCCTGGAGTCTCCAGGAATTCTTTAATTAAAGATTGTCTTGTGATGAAACCTCCCAGGAATACATCCAACCAGGCAACCGTACCTACAGTCCTTGCTTCCTTCACCCTTCTACACCCCCGTGTGACCCCAGCTGCCTCTGCCCACTACACCCCCAACAGTCCCTGCTCCCCATGTGTCCCCAAGGCCCATTACCCCATATCCCCCACCTTCCACTGTCCCCACACCACTATAACCTCCAAGAGTTTCTACTCTGTATGCCCCTAGCCTCACCTGCCCCCTACACCTCCATACCATTCCCAAGAGCCCCATCACTCTCTATATCCCAGCCTCCACTGTGTCCTACACCTTCTAGACCAGGGGTAGGCAACCAATGGCATGCATGCCAAAGGCGGCACGCGAGCTGATTTTCAGTGGCACTCACACTGCCTGGGTCTGGGGGGCTCTGCATTTTAATTTAATTTTAAATGAAGCTTATTAAACGTTTTAAAAACCTTATTTACTTTACATCCAACAATAGTTTAGTTATATATTATAGACTTCTAGAAAGAGACCTTCTAAAAACATTAAAATGTATTACTGGCACGCGAAACCTTAAATTAGAGTGAATAAATGAAGACCCGGCACATCACTTCTGAAAGGTTGCCGACCCCTGCTCTAGACCACAATGCTCTCTATACCCCCTGGGTACTCCAGCCTCCTCTGCATCCTATACTATATGGGAATCCCTACCCCCTGTGTACCCCAGCTTCTCCTGACCCCTATACCCTCTGAGAGCCTCTACCCCATCTATACCCTTATCCTCCTCTGACTCTACATCCGCATGCCTTCCTGAGAGCCCCAGCCAGGGGCGGTGAGTTATATGGGACTGTGGTGCCCATGCTCCAGGAATATTCAGGGCCCCGGGGGCCTGGCTTCACCAGTGTTTGGTGCCGGGTCTCTTCCCCCGGCCCTGTGTGCCTCCCCCAGAGCATCTCCCGGTCCCACCTGCCGCCCCTGAGCGATTTAAAAGGGCGTGGGGACCCCTGGCTGCCGCCACTGGCAGTGCAGCCGGGCTAGGGCGGCTTCCTGCCTGCCCTCAGTCTGTGCCACTCCTGGAAGCGGCTGGCACGTCCCTGTGGCCCCATGCAAGGGTGTCTCTGCACACTGCACCTGCCCTGAGTGCTGACTCCGTAGCTCCCATTGGCTGGGAACTGCGGCCATTGGGAGCTGCGGGGGCGGTCCCTGTGGGCAGCGGTGCGCGGAGATCCCCTGATTCCCCCCACCTGGGAGCCACTGCCAGAGGGTGTGCAGGTCTCTTTTGGGAGCCGCCTGAGGTAAGCACCGCACCCCTCATCCCCTCCTGCACCCCAGCCCAGAGCCCGCACCCAAACTCCCTCCCAGACTCCGACCCC